TTGCCAGGTGTTAAAAAATGTTTCTATAACCTCAAATCAATTCTTGTTGCTGTGCTGACAATTCTAAAGAAATGAAGTTTCCATTCAGTCCATAACATTTTTTTTTCAGTTCAGCTGCCAAAATACTTTAAACCCAGCAACTATTTGCACAGCCCTATAAATTAGGTTTACTAAAGGAAACAATTAGCAAGCCTGTAGCCTACAGGAATTTCGACTGGTGTTGCTACAGTGCATTGTTTAAGTAATTAGAAAATGATTCCAACTATTGTAAGTATTTGCAACACAAACGCGGAGCACATAGATGCTGTCCTATTAATAATGGGAGCTATAAAAAGATTGAAAAGCTAGTCTGCAGAGAAGGTCACATGCTTATTAGTCTAACCAGTATATGCTTTTCACTGTCACTGAATAGCAGTATTAAAATAACATAGGGCTGTACAGGGGAATGTGCTCCTGCATTGCTAAATTTGTAAGAAATCAAAAGATACAGATGTGTCAGTTACTTCATTCAAGCTTAAACAGATGATTATCTGAATAAAGACATTAATATAATAATTAGTGACCTTAAGGTGTACCGCCGGACTAGAATTCTGTATGAAATACTGAGCAGAGCCATAAAATCAGCAGCAAGATGTCATGAAACCAAAATGAGTTTCCAAATGAGTGTCTATTTCCAAATGGAAATAGCGTCAATCATAAATGTTGATCTTGTGGAAACTAATTTAACGGGAAAACTCAGCAGAGATGTTCAAACTACAATTTAATACACTCTAAAATCCTGAAATGCAATTAATCTGCTTGAGATCGTAATATTTCCAAGTAATAATTTCAATTGCAGCCTCAAAAAATTCTGCACCTCAGATTTAGCTATTAAGCTTTAGAGATGGGCTAGCAGCCAGATGTTTATAAACTCTTTTCAGGTTACAATTTAGTTACGGTTACAGGGTTAGACAATGTCCTCTCATTTAGCCCTTCAACTGACTAGCTTAACCATTATTTGCCACTACACTAGGCATATGCACCCTGCTGGTTGCTACTCCCCAATGCCAAGTCATCTATTTCCCCGCTACTGCTAGGCTGAGCCTGCTCCATTCATCCCCTAGACAGCCTCCTTTCAGGGGAGCATTACAGGCTCAACAGACCTCTTTGTTGGAGTTCTATTTACACCACCATTTTTTGTTACTCAGATTGTGAAAAGAAACAACAGGAGATGGAGAGAAGACGGACTGCTAACACAGTGGACCAGAAGTCATCAACCTTGGTTCTTTGAAGTGATATGCACAGTAAACACAGAAACTATACCAATATGTGAAATAACCTGGTGTCGTCTAAGTGCAATTCCCAATAGACGCATGGATCTATATCTACAAAAATCAGCATCATAATCAGCAATAACTGGCAACCTTCCTCGTTTTTTACAAAGAACTGCGATGTAATTATTCACCCGTCTCCCATTGATTATAATGGGATTTGGCTGGATAAATCCCCATGTAACTCTTTGAAAATTTGGGAGCTTTGGGGCAGTGGCTGCTCAGAGGTGCAAAACCAAACACACATTCAGATGGAATGTGCTCCCTTCCGAACACAGCTAAAATGCAGCAGCAAGTAGTGTGAGCCTTTGACTCTATCGCTGCTGTCTCAAAGCTGTCGTGAGACAGAAATGCACCTCCCTGCAGCAGGCAGCACAATGACCGTGCGCCTCCCAGACACAGGAGTGCTGGAGCACATGCTGAACTTTGAAGACATGTTTAATTCCCTTTGACTTCAGCAAGACTAAAGCACGCACACGACTGCTTCGTGGCACGGATTTCAGCATGTGACCCAGAACGTAAGGCATATGGCAGGGGTCCGGAGGCCTCACAGTGGCTTCAGTTGTCAGGTTTTAGCGGGGGAAGCTTTGCATACACACCATGCTGCTCAGCAGCTGCCTCCCCAGTACGCCATGGGCTGGCACGCTCCTTACCCACACCACAAAGGCCTTTGCAGCCACATCGCTTCACTCCTGTGATTCACCCTGTCAACTTCAGTGGGAGCAACACTCTGCATTTCTGTGAACGATAGCAAGACACAGACTTTAGATGCCAAGGCAAAAGACACAGTAAGTTGAACCACAACCTGAGGGCTTGGGTTCAGCGAACTCTGCGCCATTCAGGCAGACTTCCTACACGGGAGAGCAGCTCCAGCAAGGGTACATATGTATTGCTCATTTCTTTGCTGCATTCTGACTGGAATACACCTGTTATCCCCCAGTCATGTTATCTCCTCTACTTAGTGCAGCACCCAATCGCCCACCTCCAGCTTCCTCTCCAGCTCTCAGCTGTCCTACTGCTCCTTTCTGAGCTTTCCTGAAAGGTAGCTCCACGCTACTTCGGTTGCCAGATTTTAAGTTTGCAAGCGCATGGCACTCCGCTCCCACTGGCCATGCTGCCCATTAGCCTTTGCAGCACTCTCCCACTTTACGCTACTATTTTCCAAAGCAGTGATGCCTTAGGCAACATAAACACCACTGGAGGCAAAATTAATGTTGCTTCTCTATGATATTTCCCATTTCTACAGTGGGACAGATGCCAGAGAGTGCTGTTGCGTAAGATAGGTCTACTTTGTGTTGCTTTTACCATGAGTCCACTAGTCTTTCAAAACATTTTATTGGTGCCCAGATTCTGGGGTCCTGGGATGATAAAGGTCTCACTGTTTTCATTTTATGCAATGCACATTTTTAGACGTCCTTTTTCAGAAAAAAAAATTTGAAAAAGAGAACCCTATAGCTAAAAAATTAAAAGTGACTAAGAAGAACTGTATTGTTATTGCAGAAAATTTTCTATTCCTAAACCAGTTGCACCACTGGGGGAACAAGGGGATTGGCTCTTGAATTTTCATTATTTGAAGTAAAGAGGTTTGCGTCACTAACTTTTGCAGATATGAGGAGAAACACATTTTCATGTCCTGTTTTACGGCAGATTAACTTACTATTTCCCCCTTGTCTGGTGTGCTTTGCTGCTTTTTAGGTGCACCTCCTTCACAAAATAAAAATGTTCTTCTTTTATCTGACAATATCCAGAGGTTGGACATAAAATAGACAATGCACAGAGCATGGTGTGTGCATGCATGTTTCAGTGCATAGAAATTTGCACTTTCAATTTTAACCAGTGCAAATGACACTTAAAAGCAATAGCTTTTCAACTTTTGCAAGAAGAGGTCCCATTTTTGCATTTTACAGGGTAGTTAGAAAAACAAAATTTTATTGCCTGTATAGGGGAACGATTTTCAGTGATTTAAGCTTATAGTGAAACCATCTGATGTCCATCTTGCTTTATCCATATTGCTTTATTCTTTGATCATAAATGTACCCAATGAATATTTTTTTGTTATTTTACTTTCTTGGTAAATTGCATGCATCATGAGATATAAAAAAGTATACTAGTTACTATTATTTTCCTAATGGGTTTTCCTTTCCAGTACAGTATTGTATTGTAGTTATCACACTGAGAATTTGCCAAAATTATCTGACAGACCTGCTCCGGAGCTTCAGCAGTTCTGACATTCCCACAAAAGTTCCAAGAAGAAAAAAAGAATCCATTATTTTTTGCTTCCCAGGAGTCCCAGAATCCAGCCTAGTCAGCCAGAAAGAGCTGTTTCCTTCTAAGGCCAAAGCAAGCCTTTTAAATATATCAAGTTTATGAAAACATAGATGAACCCAGTAAAGCAGTCTTTAGAGGGTAGCTCAAAGAATAAAATTTAAAGCTTTTGTTGCATTCTGTTGAACGGTGGGGTAAAGCTAACAACTGACAGGGCTGCCTGGTTGTCAAGAGATTGAGATGGAAAAACAGGGCCCCAACTGTTAATTGCACATGTCATTTAAATTGCTATGATTCGGTTTACACTATCTTACACAGCTCCTTGGCTTTGATTAGCTTTCTGCCAAGTTCTCTGAGGCTCTTGTTTGATAAGTGTTATAAGGGTACAGTATGTACGTACTGAACAAGGGCACTATTTTTATGCAGAAACGTTCCTCTATTGCCTAGTCTCATTTTGGCTGTTTAACTCTATGTATTAAAACACAGAGGAAAGAAAGGGAAAAAGTAGGATAAAAATATATACAAATTTTCCCTTGAATATTTCTGCTTTGTCAGAGGTAAATGCACCTAGCCTTCCAACTCTGGCAAAAAGAGATCCTGCTGTTGCATTTTAAAGAGCACTTGGAAATATAAAGCTACAACTTTTATAACAGAACAATTTTTAGGGATTTAAGCTTATTGTGAAAGTTTTGTAGTATATTCTGGGGTTAAATGGCCAGTATGGAAACTATACAACAAAACTGCATAAAATTATGACATGCAACCCACTGTATTATTTTTGTAGATAAAAAATGTATGTACTTATAGGGAAATATACCACTATCCCCCTAGATAAGTGGGGGATAAGGCCTTTCCTGGTGCAGAGCCAGGCCGCCCTTGGGTTACTGCAGGGGATGTCACACGAGGAAGGTCAGCCCCTGCTTCCCTTCACAGCAGGACTGATATCTGCTATATGTGAGCACGTATAGACCAACTACTGGTATTTCTCCCCCCGAGCAACAGAGACACACTAAAAACCTCCTCCCGTGCTATACAAAAAGTGAAGGACCATGTACAAGCCCTTGGCAACCTTGCCACTTAGAAATGAAGCATTCTGTGGCCGTTCGGGATTTTGCACAAGTGGCCATCTCTTCAGGATCCTCAGTACCAGACTTAGAAAGGGAGACCACATACCACCTCCATTTTGGTTTCTTATGCATCAGATAACAAAATTAAGTAATTATCTGGCACCAACAAAAAATAATAAAGTTTGATCAGCTGCTGCCTTGGGAGGCTTCGAGCGGCCTGCTCGAGGGAACTCAAACATGCCAATTCCCCACAGCCGCTCATCAGGCGCACAAAGAAAACCCAACAGGGAGAATATTTAATAAAGACACACATGTCCTCTCTCGTGTTTAAAACAGGTGGCAGAGGTGGGAGAGGCCAATGGCCCATGGCAGCAGTCTGGACCACGCATGCCTACCCAGGCATCAGGGCAGGCGGGGTAGGGTGCTGCCTTGTCCGCCTCCGAGGCTGGCCCAGAGCAGTGCTACTGCTCGGCCCCAGGCCGGTGACAGGGATGCCAGAAAACCTCAGAGTGAGAACAACCCCAGCCGTTTTGTACAACGCTTCCATGACTCGGGCTGGGGCAGCGGGGACGGGCAGGCAAAGCCGAGCCGGCACCGGCAACCCCCCGCTCCAGCGACGGCATCTTGGGGCTCTGTGCGCTCCCCGCCATGCCGCCACCAAATGGCCGCCCACCAGTGCCGGCAGGCGACCTCTTCCTTCCCGC